TTTCATACTTTGGTGACACTATTCTTACAAGGTTCGCCTTTGATCAGTCATTCAAAATTCACTATGCGTGCTATTTTGTCCCCACTTGTATCACTGTTCCTCGCCATTATTAACCGTGATAGGCAAGAACGCTTTTTGTGTCAAACTCCAAGCACTTGGTTTAAGAGGACCCGGTTATGGCAATCTGACCAGAGCCGCACACTTGAAAGTACTTGACTTCTTGGAATTCGCTCACCTCCCTCAGCATTGTGCCCTTCTGATTTTCAAGTTGGCTTCAAGATCTTTTACGGCTACGCTGCCATCGCGCTATTGCGCTGTTAATATCGGATCTTGGCTGCCTTCCGGTCGCACACCCGTAGCGGCGTATGATGTTTACTGGTGGTGTTTCGCTGACACCCTACGAGGAGGATTTTTTCACTCCTCTTCCCCATATTTTATGCGATTTTTTTCACTTCTGCCTGACATTGTCTAATCGCACATGCCAAAACCCTATTCCCCGTTTTGAGGTTTTCGGATGTCATCCAAAGCCGAGTTCACTTGAAACCACCAAGCATAAACGAGGCTCCACAGAACCTGGACACCTATGGCTATGTCCTGCCTCACCTACATCTGAATCATGTCTATGTATCCACAGAGCAAGGGCGCCAGGTACGTCCAAGCCCAAGAACCCGAGCGACCCCAGCCGCCTGCACACATTAAGTTTGGTTTGTTCATAAAATGCCTCACAATCTGCAGCTGTGCGCCAAAGGCAAGGTGTTCACATATCCCCTGTTTTTGGGTCTCACCACTGCACCACGAAAGCAGAGGCTGCTGCAAACACTAGCAAGGCCTGGTAGAGAATTTTACTCCACGTACTTCTTTTTTCCCAAGGAAACTTGACTACTAAATTGCATCGCTCCCGAAATGCAGGAGAGAAAAATTTAAGAAATGCCATTTAATTTAAACTTACAGGATGAATAGCACCATTTACGCACTATATTAACAGATCTTAAGTCAAGTCAGCCGATTACAAAATTTTCGAGAAAAGTACCAGTCTTTATATTTATTTAGCTACTTTTGTTTTTCTTGGTATCATACCAGTGTGATGCCACTTTCTTCTTCCTTACTTTTCGATTGCCTTTAGAGATACCATCTGCTGCTCAAAATGTTAACCAATTTCTCTGCAAGAAGCTCGAACTGCAGGCTTGTATGTATTTGATCTATAAATTGGATTAATTCGCCAGCCGCCCAAACATGTTTTATATACACCCAAGGGTGAACAATTCACAGGGAATGAAGGAGACAATTTGAAGAACGGAGCTTATTTTTACCGCCATTTTTGCCCTCCAAAATCTTCGTTTAACTGTTTTTTTTTGTTCATGGCGGTGCTCAATGAGGATAAATCCAAGCTTTTCGAGTTTCTGGCTTACCATGCTATCTGGCAAGGCTTAAAGTAGCCTTGCCTAATGCGCCTCTTTATGGCAGCATTAGAATACGCTGCCATATGTCGCCTTGGGACAGACCTGACGCAGCTAATACAGAAGTGTTTGACGGCGAAATTCTGTCCTGTGGATATGTTTGTCATGCGCACGTCTTACTTGTTTCGCGTTTTAATCTCGAAGGTTGGTGGGCATTTCAACGCATGATTGGTAACAGAGCTAGCCATTTTCTGTTTTAATGCATCGGGTTTTGCCATAAGACAAGTGATGATACCACAAAACATGCAATTGGCTTATTTTGTTACATGTTCTTGGTTATTTGCCCCAAATTTCTTAAAGTGGTCCCTCATGGCTGCTTGAACCAGATGTTTTCTATAGTTGTCATGGTTTGCTGACCAGCACATGACTGCACTGTGTATATTCACTATATTTTTAACACAAGGATACTCTAAGCTTCATAGCAATTATAATATGAGTTAGATATTGTTATGTAACAAATAGCCAGACCACCCCATTTAAAATGTGAAGCCAACATCTCAAACTTTGTCATTTAATATGAATAAACAAGCCCAAATGGATGCATTTGCTGCAGCTGAAAAGGCAAGCAGCAATACTGGCATGGTCATCTAAAAGTTATGCTATTTTTTGAGGAGAGACTGTTTTGTGGAGCATACCCATTATTGCCTGTGACACAGGCTAACCATGACAATCAAAATAAGTTATTCAAAGTGATCTAAAGTGTTTTAACTTGCATGTTGTCAGCTTCGTCTGATGTCAACAAGCATGCAGAAACGAACTGAATAAAATGCAAGTCGAAACCAGCCAAAAACTAGTAGCTTTAAACATCATGTTTTTATCACAAGTGCTGCTGTCAACAGATAGGTGAGTTGAGATGATGTTCATCACATGGGCCATTCTAAGTTAGGTTAAGTTGGTCAAGTGCATGGCAAGTGGCAATAGGAATTGTGCAAGAATCAGTTACTCACAACTGCTGCTGTGATACAAGCAGGTTATACAGGATGAGATGATGTAAGCTGCCTCTTTAGGTTAGGCATAGGCTACTTTCATGGAAATAAGCCTTGGTATTTTGTAAGAAACAGTAGCAAAATGTTTGTTTTCTCTGACCCCACCTTAACAGAACCCAGAAGTATGTCTATTGTGTTTGGCTTGGTGCTGAGCTGATGTTTAGGGGTCCAATGTTTTTTTTTTGTTTTAGTGTTTTATGTTTGCTGAATTTTCTGTTGTTATAATGTTATTGAATTTGCTTTGCTTTGTTTTGTTTTAAAAGTGCTGTGGAAGGGAATTTAAAAGTGCAGCTTGAAATTATAAGTGTTAATAATATGTTATGCTCATAATACTGTCATGAAATTACTATGCTTTAACACGCGCCCGGCTGGCCTGCTAGATACCCTTCGCTCGGGTGTGTGTGTGGAGGGGGGGGGGGTAATTTGAACCCCCCTCTGAGATCTCGGGAACTAAGAAAGTTAGAGGCACCAAATTTACAGGGTGGCTTGACCTATACATGAACTCATTTAGGTTAGGGTTCCAGCATCCTAGGTCATGACCCTCAGGGCAAATAAGGTCCAACAATGTCAAATTCCAGGTTGGTCTCCAAAGTGCCCCCAGAACCTAGGCAACTGTCTTTAAGCAATAGGTCACAAGCCCATTTGAGGTCATTGACCTTGTTTGACCCTTTGAAGGTCATAGTGACCAAAATGATCCAAGACTGCTCCACGTTTTCATTTGAATAAGCGACAAAGATTACACTAGGCAGTATGTTCCTAAAACAAAATGCTGGACCCGGGTCGTCTGGGGTCAGCGGCCTGTTCTGACCTCTAAGAAGTCAATAGAAAATGTATGATGCGGTTCCTGCTGCCAATAAATTCGAAATGAGCACCAGACACTATCCCATGCAGCAAGCCCTAGAGTAATAAATCAAGTTGGTTTTGACCTTGGTCTGACCATCATACTTGACCTTAGGTCAACGTAATTTGTTCATTCAATATTTGCGGTGCCTAAGAAAGCATCTCAGATGTTTATGTCTTCGTCAAACACTCCGTTGTTGTATCAGATTGAAGGATTCCCTAGAAATTGCCCTCGCTGAAACCATTGGATGACTTTGACCTGCCATAGGTCAGCGGCGTTACAAGGTACATCTAAAACTGGTATGTGAAACGATCTGCTGTGCAATTTTCTACAGCTATGCAAAATGTGGCGCGGCTACGTCGCGCTGTTAAAAAACCATTCGGGAAAAGCCCTCGGGGGGGGAAGGGTCAAGTTGCCCCCCCCCCCCCCACCCGAGCGCGTGTCAATGTATTCTGTTTCACTTTAATGGCCTAAGATGTTAAAAACGAAATAGTTTTGTCAGGTTTCTGATATTACGTCCATGCCAACTTGAAATAGATGTCTTTGTATGCTGAAGCATCCGTCACGAGCCCATAAGTTCCGTCTTTTGTGAATGGATTTTCTCACTCCCGCACGGTCTTTTTGCGATGGAATTTTTCACTCCCACCCTAGTTCAAAAGCGATTCTAGCTCCCTGTAAAGACTAGTACTTTTCTCGCAAAATTTTGTCATCAGCTAGTTTGACCTGAAATACGTGGGGTAAAATTCTCTACCAGGCCTTGCTGGTGTTTGCACCAGGCTCTGCTTTCTTGGTGTGGTGGTGAGACCAAAAAAATGGGGGATGCGTGAAAACCTTGCAATTGGCGCACAGCTGCAGATTGTGATGCATTTTGTAAACAAACCAAACTTAATGCGTGCAAGCGGCTGGGGTCGCTGGGGTTCTTGGGCTTGGAGGTACCTGGCGCCCTTGCTCTGTGCATACATAGACATGATTCAGATATAGGTGAGGCCGGACATAGCATTGGTGTCCAGGTTCTGCGGAGCCTTGTTTATGCTTGGTGGTTTCAAGTGGGCTCGGTTTTAGATGACATCTGAAAACCTCAGAAGGGGAAATAGGGGTTTGGCATGTGCCATTAGACAATGTCAGGCAGGAGTGAAAAATTCACGTAAAATATGGGGAAGAGGAGTGAAAAATTCCTCCTCATAGGGTGTTGCTTTACACCCAAAGTCGGCAATTCTAGGACACTGCCCTCGGAAGAAGGGCGGGCACCGCGGGGAATCGAACCCCGTACCTCTGGCTTCCCAGACGCGCAGTGGTTAACGCAGCCATGTTAACCACTACACTACCGGCACCCCACTAGGCCTCGCCCGATTACACTCAGCTTCAAAGGGAGAAATGATGCAGGTTTAAGGTACCAGTAAGCCTACCGCCTACAGTTCGAGCACTGTTCCCATAGGTCTCCGTAAATTGTTTGGATCAGGGTAAGTGACGTAGCTGCGCGTCACGCGACATCGCTGGGAGTCGTCGAGCGTCACTGATATGGTCAGCAGCGGATGGGCGGACGATTAACTGTTTAGCAGCGCATGCCACAGAGTGCAAGCAAAACACTCCCAGAACTTGGTGTGGATCTCAGAGCTTTCTCAGCAAGTCATAGTATTCGGCGGCACGGGACAGCATCTGTCCCCTCACCACGAAACACGAGCATTAAGAGGGGCACAACTGCCGATGACAAGCCGATGAAAAATAATCCAAGGAATATTTATTTTGTACAAAACGTTAATGATACAAATCTGAAAAAATACGGCGATCGACTTTCCTCATGGCACCAAACCAAATACACGAAGTAGACGCCGTCCGAACAGAATGACAAGCTCCGGCCGCTAGCGGGGGGCCTAGCTTCAACGAACGGCCGGAGGCTGTGACCAGGAGAGCGGCGCCCACTCCACATCCGACACAGAACACTAGCCTAGTTTGCACGGCACGGCGTGCGCAGTCCGTCGCGAGGCGTCTGCGGCCTCCCGGTCACGCGGGGCCGGCGTCGCGCCATCGGCTTGTACAGGGCGATATGCGGACCGGCCACCAGTTTGAGCTCACCGGCGGCACCATCCCGCGGCGCCTCGGGCCCGCGCCAGCCGACGTCGCCCGACGGCGGCCGCGCCACCGCCGCCCACACTGCCGCCGTCCGCGCCGGCGCGAGCGGTCTCACTGCGTCCCGGCGGCATCCCGTTCAGCGCGGCACCGGCGGCGGCGCGGTCACGGGCCCGGTCTGCACCGGCACCCACTAGAACAGGCCCTTCCGTTTCTTTTTGCCGTCCATCGTCCTGCAAAGGGAGAGTGTTGTTAGTGTGGGGTCAGGCCAGCGCTGGCCGCCGAGCGGGGCACGCGTCAAAGGGAGTCTCAGACAGCTGAACGCTCGTGCTCAGAGTAAGGCGACGCAGTTTGAATACGCTGTCGACCCCCGCTGTACGGACACCGCTGGGCGGCCCCTGGGGGCACGTTCACGGCCAGCCACGAGCAAAAAAGCGCCCAAAACCACACATGCTGCAATAGTATGGACGCCGCCGAAATCGCAACAATCAAAACAAGTAAGCAGCTTACGAAACAAATTAGCAGATTTGCCGCGCCAGATGGATTTTGCGTAGACTAACACGAACGCGTTCGCCGCACGACGCAGGCATATGTATTACAGACATTATTTGTATCAAGAAGTCAAAACTTCAGCAGTTTTCGAAACGAGCGACTATACAAGGGGCCAGTATTACCTCCTGCCTAAATTTCGGTGTCATGTACCGACACCAATGCGCTTAGCAGGCGACTTCAAAAAAGCAAGCACCAGGTTCACAGGGACTTTTTATCTACCTGCCCACGCAAAACATCCGTGTAATGAACTCAGCAAACATTGAAAAAGCGTCAAAATGTTGAAAAGCTTAGGTCACGTCACGGTATCTTTAACGATCCTCCTACGTAAACAAGGCTTTTTTGTCACCACATGCCCCAGATTTTGTTTTTGTCGCACAGCGCATTGTAACTGTAGATCTGTCAAAGGAGCTTTGTCCAGTCTCAGCACGGAATTGGGCAAAAATGTGCAGGGTACCCGGCCCGCGGCGGCGACACCGACCGCGTCGCTCGAGCGACAGCGGCTGGCGCACGCAGCGACCGCCGGCCATCGTCTCCACGGCAACCCACACCGCCGGCAGAGTACAGCTCTGCAGCAACGCTCCCGACAGCATTATTTTAATTCACCACATTTTAAGTTCGTCAAAGCATGAAGTTTTAACGCATTTTCTTTAAAAAATTGTCACATCTAAACGAGAAGATTCCACAACAGTGGCACTTGTTTCGTCCGAAGGCGAATGCCGGCATTCAATCAGTCACAATTCCGCATGCAAACGCTGACATCAACTTGCGATATTTGGGTGCCAACGCAAAGCAAATATTGTCGGAGCCCACAACATCGCCCAGATTTTCCATATGTCTACAGGCGGGGGGGGGAGGGGGGGCACCACACATGACCGTGCTGCATTTACACTGCTATGCAATATGTTAATATTCTACATCTAACTCAAAGCGATACGAACTCCGGCCTCTCTCCACCGGCTACGGCCCGATATTCACGACTGTCGCGCCACCCCCAGTCTACAGCGGGTTAGAGGGGATGCGCCGAGCGACTCTGCGCCGCCTGCTATACACGGCTGTCTGCCCGACACAAAGCTGCCGCCCCGGCTCGCGCGTGCTGTGTACAGGTTGTTACGCGTCGACGTCGGCGGCGCGGTACCAACCGAGGCGCGGCTGTGCGGCTCTCACAGGCCGCCCGACAGTCGGGACACGGACACTTTCCAGCGCGAGCGTCCGGCGCTGCAACGGCGGACGTCGGCGTCATGCGCCGCCACCGCGGCCCGGCCGGGCGGCGCGCACACAGCGCCGGGTTAGCGCGCGCGAACGGACGGCGGACACCGACACCGGGCCAGCACCTGGCGCGGCCGACCGGCACTCCGCACAAACCACCGGGACCGGACCAGCGGGCGGGGGGCGGCACGCACGCACACTTACAGTCGCCGGCGGCGCGCTAGAATCTGGCCTTAAACTGGCGGGTCAGCGTCAGCAAGCTCGAGTGCTTTGTCAGGGTTCTGCAAACACCGGGATCGGGTTAGGGACGGCCCTGCCGGCGACCAATCGGCGGGAGGCGCCCGGCGCATGCGCACCGAACGCAACGGGACAGTCGGATCCGCCCACGACCGACAGCGGCCATTTCAGACATTAGTATTACCCGACGACCGAGAAGTTACGACAGCGTCAGGACAGGCGGCTCAAGAGCTTTAGACCAAGTGGAAGTGGAAGATGGAACTCGGGTTATGTCGAAAACGGGACTAGTCGCACAGTGCGGCTTGCGATTTTATTCGAAAACAGCCACAGCACTGCCGGTAGCATGAGCACGTCCGACAAAAATCAGAGAAAACAAATCTTAAACCAAAAACGGCAGCCCAGCGTGCCACGCCCATCGGACAGGTCATACCAAACAGCCAACGAGACGGGCAGAGTGCACAGTAGATCACGGAAGACACGTGTCTCTCGTACTCCCCGTCGGCTGTCTGTCTCCCCAGGGCGGGCCCCTCTCCCAGGTCATGACGCCTCCGTAGCTGTGTAACACGTCGTTGCACTGAACAGTCAATCAATCACAAATATAGGCATACGGCCCTGCGATCACCAGCACTTTTTCGGCACCGTACGTGAAAAGTAGCGACGCATCTCGCCCTTCGCCAGTGGGTCGATCTTTGCGCAGCGATATTTCTGCACAGTACTACCTTCCAGGTGGGTCCTCTGGCGGCCCAGAGCAACTATGGTGTGCGTTCTGCTACGCGCTATCCACGCGCTATCGAGTTACGGGGACAGTCAGCCGAGGTCACGCTGCGCAAGTGACGAATTTGTCTTTGTCCAGTTAGTGCTGGTGGTTGGAGGGTTCGCGACCTTTGACAGGCAAGATCCCGTTACCCGTAGTACCCCAGTGACCCGGATCCAAAACGAGCAGGGATGCTGACCCATGTCCGCCGCTGCCTCCGCCCGACGCCGGGTACCCGCGGCTGCCGCGGTGGCAACGGCGGCGGGCGGCCGACGCCTAACTCACTCCTTGCTGTGTGACTCGAGCTCACGCCGGCGCAGCTCAGCCACCGTCACGCCGTTCAGCCGCTCCCAGTCCTCGCGCTCGCGCAGGAACGCGGCGCGCCGCTCCTCCAGCTGGCGGCGCTGCTCCTCCAATGGCGCCAGCATCTGCTGCTGCCGCCGCTGCAGCTGCGGGCGCGGCGCGCGAGACACCGGGTCAGCGCGGGCGGCGCCGCGCTGCCACCGAGGCGGCCGGCCACAACACCGGCAAACGGGGCCGGCGCGACGCGTCGCTTGGTTCTTGGCGGGACGTGGACATCGCAGTCACGTTTGACACAGGCTTTTAGCGTCGGGTTCCAAGCCAGTTGTAAAAGTCAGTTGTACGCCAGCACGGAGCGGCAGCCGCCCACTCGGTTCCGTGCGCGAAGGGTGGGCGACAATGCCCAGAAGATCAGCTGACTGGACGGCTGATCTGTAGCGCCAGTTCACACAGCATGTCGCCAGTTACATCGTCGAAGAGAGGCGACAGGAATAAGCTAGTCAACGGAGGCCGATTATTCTGTCCGACTGGCACAATCACTGAAGTTGTGGAACACAGCATGGACCGTTGCCCGTGTTAGGCAATGCCGAGGACAATGGGCAAATGAGTTCTCTACGCAAAAGCACACCAGATCCCTTCTCAACCAGAGGAGACGGGGCGGATCACGAGACTAACGCCAACAGCCCATGAAGACTGCGGGCGAGAGCCGAGGGGCCCACATCGTGCTCACGTCATCTTCCGACTCCTTGAGCTTGCTCCGCTTTTCCTTGACCTTCATCTCGAACACCTGCTCCATCTCGCTTTCCATCTTCTTCATCTTGAGCTCGTGATCCCGTTTCTCCTCCTCCATCTGCGCCAGCGGGTTCCTACAGTAACGACAGAGGAATGTCGGACGAACATCGGCCATCGTAGGGACGCCTCCTCGGCGGCATATGCCGGTGGTCACGACGCACTAAGAACAACACAACCAGCGGGCAGTCTCAGTGCAGGCCGGCCGTAGGCTAAAAGCAGGGAGCAGTCTCGCCTCGACTCGCCACGTATGCCATCCAACAAAGAAAAAGGCTACAAGCCGAGCAAATCACCACAAAACATCCGACGGCTCAACGCGAAGACGGCAGCGAAGCCTACTTCTGCATCGCTGATGACATCACGCATCGATCGCCGCATAACGTCACACACGCCGTGCGTCAGCTCACGCACAGGCGCAAGGGCGCCAGAGTGAGCGGGTGGGCGCCGCCTCGCCACCGACCGAGACCCCGGGGCGGGGCGCGCGCGACGCGGCCTGGAGGCGGCCGGGAGGAGCTCCGCCGACTCCAACCAAGCCGCCTCTCTGCTGTCGGACGCGGCGGCAGACGCACGCCGCCGGCACTCGGAGTTACGGAGGCCGAATGCACGGAGACTGCCACCGCGCACCACTTACCAGATGGTCATGAACGTGTTCATGATCCTTTGCGGGCGCAGGGTGGACGAGGGGACGACGGTTAATACCGGCCCGGGTGGCGATGGCGCCAAACCAAGTGGGTAAGCGTCCATCATCGCTGCTCGAGTGTGCACGAATTGAGTGCGCTTTTCAAGAAAATGACGTCGCAAGCTGTATAGTGGTTGGTTACCGTTTGTTACGGATTGGTCACGCACTACTTGCGGAGAAAGCGGAGCGACATGCCAACTTGTATGCACTGGGGGAGTGAAGAGGCTTGGACACTGGGTGAAGCATCACATGCCGGGGCCGAGTTTTTCAAAACTACCTCAACCTCATCGCTACAGACAACCAATCTTAAATGCCACCCTCTGCTTTCCCTACCCGCTTGCAGACACCTTTAAAGCATAAGCTGCACGCGTGCACACCCGCACTCACACCCAGAGTGACCAATACACCCACCGTTCCACACACACGTGCGCCCGGGACCCGGCCGAGACAGGTGCACGCACTGCCGGCGTCCCCCGCTCCGCCCGTCTCCCCCTCCCCCCTCACCCTCCCCGGTCGGCGGCGCGCGCCGCCTCACTCACTTGTTGACGATCTTGGAGGGTCGTCCGTCCGTGCCGACACCGGCTAGCTTCCGACACCGGTAGTTCTCGTAGTGGACCGAGCTAGTGACGTCGCGCAGGTCCATCATGTGCGTGCGGATCTGGCCGGAGGGGGAGGGGTCACGGGGGATCACGGGTCACAGGTCACAAACCGTAGTCTGGCCGCTCTACGTCAGGCCAAGGCCGACAACCCGCGAAAACACGCTCACCACGATCAGCAGACTGACGGGGAGTACGTCTCAAACCCCAATAGAAAAGTATGTAATAACTGAGAAGTTCAGTAATGATGCTGCAACAAATCAATCATTCATGAATCGTTCTCGACACTCAATATTGTGCTGCAACAAATCAATCATTCATGAATCGTTCCCGACACTCAATATTGTGCACTACAAAAGCAATAAACATACAGCATAGTATACAGCGATTTAACAGCGTTGCGTGTAAAGTCGTGTTGTCGCTAGAAATTGTCAATGAAGCAGTGCGTTAAGACCATTTTAGCTACAGGCAGGAACGGATTTCTTCAATGGTTATTTTGACTTACACAGTTCCACCATATGCACTTCTGGATACGGATGTGACTGTCAGCACAACGAGGTTTTTATTCGAACTGACAGTGAGCGTAGCGGGAGATTGCTTCAGCACGAAAACACGTAGAAAATACTGAATGGCGCCGCATTCTTGGCATAACATTTAAGTTCCAGCTGCCTGTATGGATAACTGCGGTGCAATAGCAAAACGTGGCAGATGAGAAGTGAAGCTGCGCTGCAGCCGTCTGGTGTTCTCGGGCTGACCCCAAGCTTCGCCCTATGGCCCAGAATGTCGTCTAATGGGCGGGCTGTGAAGGTGTGCGCCCTTTAGTTTAGGGTGTGTGCCCCCCCCCCCCCCCCCCCTCCAATAGCACATTTCCCCATCTGGGACAGGGGGGGGGGGGGGCAGGCACGGATAGCACGAGCCCCTCCGGTGAATGGCCGCAGCTCCACCGCCGTCCCGTGAGGCGTGTAACGACAAGGAGTATTCAGCGAACAGGATGAGAGGGGACATTCGGCGAACAGTATGAGGGAGTGGCATCATCTGGCGCAGACGTCGCGGACGGCGCCGAACAGCCTGGCCAATACATCCCTGCACCCAACTCGACTTGGCTGATCTCTTGCGGCGGAAGGCAGCTGCGCTCCAGCGCCAGGCGGCCAAGTGCCCTGCCTGGCCACACCCGCTGGCGCTTACCAGCATGTTCCTCAGCGGGATGAAGTCGGAGTGGTCCATGCTCTCGATCTGGACCACGCCCCACGGGTACCGGCGGCCACGCACCTTCTTGCCGTCCACCTAGGGGGCGGGCGGGGAAGTTCGCTCACGGCGACACGACCAGACGGAGGTCACTGCCAAACCGCACACGGCTGGGAACAGCAACAGTCGACACAACCTGGGCTGCGTGAGTTAACTCCGGCGCAATGTCAATGGCTGCGTTTTCTCCCTCCACGAACACTAATTTCTCGCAAACGACGTGACAAAATGGGCAAACTCAGCCATACGCAATCAAGATCCCACACAAATTATTAGCGGGGCACTATGAGAGCGTACCCAGCACAGAACAAGCCGGGACGCCCGCCGGACCTGACCGCGCGCCCCCCGTCAGTCCAGCCCTCGTGCCCTCCAGCCCCCGCGCCGACCGACCTCGACAATAGTGTTGGCGCCGACTACGGCGAACGGTACCCGCTCGCGCAGCGCCTTCTGCGCGCGCGCCTCCTCCTCGTCGTCACACTCCGGAAACTCGTATATGCGAATCTTGTGCTGGGCGATCTCGTTGAGGATCTGCGGCGCGTGGGCAATGGTGAGATCCCTGGGAGTTGGGAACACAGGACAGCACACCGGGAAACAGGGCACAGCCGGGTCGGCCACCGCGCCAGCCTCTGCTGGCTAATCACTGATCGTAGAACATCCTCCCACTTCCCAACAAGCTGCGTCACCCACCTGTCCCCAGCAAAGGTATCTGAGCATGAACAGTGGTTAAAGATGCATGGGCACACTGGAGCCATCGCAAAAGCACTGACGCTAGCATGAACGCCTAAGCACGCACGTACGCACCGGTCTACCTGCGCTTGTACGCGAAGCCCACCGCACGACTACCTCCCGCCGCCGGCCGCGCCGTCGCCCGCACCTGGCGCTTGAAGCGGGTGATCTCCTCGGGCGTCATAGTGTCGGCCTTGGCGATGACTGGCACGATGTTGACCTTGTCATGCAGCCGCTTCATGAACTCGACATCGAGCGGCTTCAGGCCGTGACCGGATGGGCCGATGCAGTAGATGCAGCAGTGCACGCGCGAGTCCACCACCTCGGAGCGGCGCACGCGGCTCTCGGCGTTCAGGTACTCCTCGTACCGCGACTCGATGAACTCGATCACCGGCTGCCAGCTACAGCGTGTCGGCTCGGTGTTAGTCGGGGCAGCTGCGACCGCCCGAGACGCCCGGCCGTTCGAACGCCGCCGGCCACGTGAAATGTGAGCTACAAACGGAAAGCGCGGGTTCGGTTTTGGACGCTGGTGAAAGTCTATTGGCGTCGTGGCCTGGGACTTCAGTTGAAGGGACGGTGGGTCGGCCACGGGATGTAATTCCACAAAATACGCTAAGTGGGGGGGGGGGGGAGACTGAGCGCGGAAAAATAACCAAACACCCCCCCCCCCTAAATACACGAAAGAGCAAATGTCTCCCCGGATTTGACCTGCTTTCATACTTTCATACTCCCCGGATTTGACCTGCTTTCAGATATGGGGGGGGGGGGTCCAGTCCCCTAAACCAGGCGGAAAACTACAGCTCAGATGGGTCAGCACCTCAGCCCGGCCAGCAGGATAGAGGGTCCAGTCCCCTAAACCAGGCAGAAAACTGCAGACCAGCTGGGTCAGCACCTCAGCCCGGCCAGCAGGATAGAGGGTCCAGCACCGGTGGCAAGCGCCGGTCCCTGTTTGCACGGGCTCGGCTTTAGACCTCGACAACCAGTTCATGGTGCAGCGCCATGCCCGTAGCCTGCAGCCAGTGCAGCCCCAAAACCGGAGTGAGGGAATTCAGTGAACACGAACTTGACAATTGCTTCACACTACGTTCGATGATAACTTCGCGCTAAGTTTTAAATTCATTAAGTTCTGAGTTCGCATTAAAAATTGTTCCAGCTGAACGTGATGTAACGTAAACTTGTTCGTCTCATCCTTGAAGTTCATCATATAACCTGATGAATATGGTGGCACCCTCTGTTAGTACTATAAAGAGCGTGGTCCTGCTGGTCACGTACCAATTACTGTTGTCCACCGCGTCTCCAAAGCCAGGTGTGTCGACCACCGTCAAGCTCAGGTTCACCCCGTTCTCCTTCACGTGCACCACGGTTTTATCCACCTGGCGACCGCACCAACACCACAGGTTCACACTGCAGCCCATAGATGGCTGTCCACTCGAGTGCAGACAGGTACCAGATGTCGACTGATAAGACAGACAAATTACAGCAGCCTGTGAATGGCGCGTGACGTACGGGCTAAAATGACTCCGCTTCATTTGCACGTGCTCTAGGACTGGCAGCATGCGCGGGGGCCGCCCACATTAGCCCTCGACAACATACAGTGTAGGCACCAACCAACGGGCGAGAGCCATGAGGGCCGTACAAATCGCACGGGATGCCCTCCTTCCCATCGCCCCCCCCCCCCCCCCTCACAGGTCTCGACGCACGGCGATGCGCGCAGTCATCATCTGTGGCTGTCGCCGTGCAACCCTGAGTGGCGGACGTTCCATAACCGCGGACGTCGCGAAGGCGCGTCGGGCCGGGGCGCGGCCGAACTCACGGCCACCGTCTTCTGGATGCGGTGCGATGGACCTGGGTACTCGTTGTTGTAGATGTCTGACATAAACATCGAGTTGACTAGCGTGGACTTGCCGAGGCCGGACTCGCCTGGAACAGCCGGAGCGGGCGGTCAGCTGGCGGGCAGCGGCAGACGCGGGGTCATCTGCAGGACCACGCCGGGTGGGCTAGCTGGCTGTCCGGTGGGCGTCCCGTCGGCCGGACACGCCGGTCAGGCCGCGCCGGCACGCTTTGCAGGTACACAGCTGACACGGACCGACAGCGACACTCATCGGTATGGACAACGTGCGCGCCGACAGAGCCGGGTCAGCGGTGGTAACACAGCGGTAGTAACACAGCGAGACTGAAGTCTTCCACACAGTTCCCTTGAAGGGCTGTGCGCGGCGTAGCGTAGCTACGGAGCTGTGTATTCCGAACGACTATTAGGCCACCATTGGCTTTCAAAGTAAACCCAATAAAGCCAGCATCAAACACCGACTCAGGACAAATTCTGAAGATCACTTCTGTAACGCCCTCGTCCGTTCGACGTCTCTCTTCAGCGGCCGTCGAGTCGAGATCGTAAACACCCCGCGGCCAAAGGCGTTCGCGGTTCCGCTGGAGAGTGGTGCAGTGAACACGAAGTCCGGACCGGTGCCGAAAAGGCGGAGAAACGTGCGGCGCGTCGACCAGCGCAACAAAAAGGCGGACAAACGTGCGGCGCGTCGACCAGCGCAACAAAAAGGCGGAGAAACGTGCGGCGCGTCGACCAGCGCAACAGAAAGGCGGAGAAGCGTGCGGCGCGTCGACCAGCGCAACAAAAAGGCGGAGAAACGTGCGGCGCGTCGACCTCCGCAACAAAAAGAGAGGCGCCGCGCAGGGTTCGCGCCCGCCGCGCTGACAACGACGCGGACACTCCTAGTCCGTAAAGACCGACAACGAAACAGATACAGAGGCGGGACCGTTGGCGACCTGGTGTACTTCGGGCGCAACCGAGACCGCCTGTGAGGACACCAGCCGGCCAGAGCATAGCGGAGCTGAGACCAACGTCACGAACTCAACCAAGGCAGTGGACTAGCTGAACGAAAACTAAATGTGCGGACTGCACCGAGCCGAACTGTACCCGGGCGACCCTGGCGGCCTTCGAACGGCCTCCTCCCCCCCCCCCCCCCCCTCCCTCTTACCCGGCGAGCTACGGTGTCGACAGCTGCTGCCACGGCCGCGCCGCCGCGCCGGTCGGCACATCCGCTCGGCACGTGCCAGCACGCGCCGCGTGTCGGCACGTGGTGCGCGTGTCCTGCCGACAGTCGGCCGAGAACGAGAGTGCGGCGTGCGGCCGGCGCGAAGGCAAGAGTGGCGCACGGTCGCCGCGCTCGGCCGACACCTGAGCCGGGGACCTCCCGCGGTGCGGCCGGTCGGCCGGTCGCTACTACAGCCCACCGGCGAGGCTGCCGGACCCATCCCCACCGATTGCGACAACGCATGTGGCTCAATCCGCTGCTCGCTACCGGCGTTGGGCTAAGCGCGAGAGTTCGTTCCCAGGTGCGCAGCTTCCCCGACCAGAGGCTCGGCCCAGCTAAGCTGCTGGCGTTGCCCAACTATGCAGAAAAAGCTAATCAAGAGACGGTGCCACATCTACTGAAAGCCTCGCCAGGTACCTCCCCATAATACGAAAGTCAAACTGACAGGATGCACGCCATCTAATGGGTCAATTCGTTCGGCACTTTTCATGCGCTCACTTATGCCCACATTTTATTCCACCCAGCACTTGTATCGGAATTGTGAAAGAAGGGCTATGGCCACACCAGCAGGGAAAATAAACGCCCTTTCTCAGCAATTAGCCTGACTGAGAACTAAGTACTTAAGCCAGGGGATAATGAACTTTGCCGTTCGCAGCGCTGCACAGATTCTGACATGCATAAGGAAATACAAAAGTGGCGCTCAGTCCCGTGTCCTGGAACCCTCTCCTCACGGCGCGTACCACTCGCATTAAAGGGGTCATGCTCGTCTGTTTCCTCCCAACGTCATTAGCCAATGATCGATTCGAACACTTCATCATACCACGACTGGCACACTTCAGCCGCGACAGCAATCACACCAGGAATGCCCATAGCAGCAACATGGCGTCATACGGAGCCATCCTAAGCCCGCCCAGAAGCGGCTCCAGGCGGTAAGAAGCCCGCTACGCTAGCAGCGTCAAACCGATCCAGACCAGCGCCCTAGGCGCCGTCCCAGTGCCATACATGGTAGCATAAAAACGGTGGCAACGCGGGGGCAGCGATAAAAAGCCCCTCCCCATTCCGTTTTTGAGGCCCCGGCGCCCCTGGCTGCTCGGGGTGGTGAAGCCACGCGAAAGGTCACCGAGGCTGGTCATGCGCGTCCCCAGCCGGCCGGATGATGCCAGCAGCCAGGCGCGGCCCAACGGCCTTGTTTGTTTTCTTTCGGCCGTCGGCGCATCCCGCGGCGACCATAGACGGCGCCATGTCTGCCGCCGGCCGGCGCCGCCAAACAACGCGATCCGTGCTGCTCACGGCCGACCAGCGCGTCACCCCGCTCGGGGGCACGTACCGCCGACGCGCAGCGACCAGCCACGTCCAAACGGTACGCGTCTGCTCCACCGTTATCGAGTTTTTCTAATCATCGACGATTTTCTTAATATTCCACAATGCGGAAAGTAAATAATCTTAAATCGAGACACAATGACAGCGTTGATGAAATCACATCAACAGCAGGCCGAAAGTCCGACTCATGAGTGCACGACGCCGGACGCACCGCACTGGCCGAAAACATGGCAGCGCGGCACCGTCCCGCACCTGTACCGCTTCACTGACACCCCACTGGTCAGTGTCACGCATACACTCCACGGTGGCGGCCGAGATCGGTCGGACCAGGCCGATGTGTCGTCCGGGCGGGGCCAGAGCGCACGTCCGTGGCTGGGCCGTGGCGGCGCGCCTCGCACCGGTGGCACCCGCCCGTCCCAGCACCAAGCAGTCGGCGAGCTCGCCTGGCGCCGCGACACACTCCGTGTCAGCCCAGTGGCGGGCGAGAGCCTGGCCGCGTACGCCAGTCAGACCGCTCGCGTCGCATCCCACGTGCGGTCTATCACCGCGTTGACGTCGCTCATGAACAACTGGTCACCACCTTACTGCGCAGTATGTCAACGCAAAACGCTTACGTAGTGCTGCTATCGCTCGAATGTTCATGTTGCAACTACAGCTTGTCTTCTCATTGTTCACTTCTCCTCGCGAATCAACAATGCGATGTTCAGAATACGCGCAATCTCGGCTTGGCTCTAGCCAGGAGGCCGCCGGGGCCAGGGCACCTGCCGCCGCCGCTCAACTGACAGGGGCGCGGGGAGCCGCGGCCTGATACCGGCGCCGGGCCGGACATTCACTGGCCCCGACAACGAGCCAGGCCCGGAAAGAGACACAAACAGTCAGAGAGCGAGACAGAGGACCCTGACAACCGGGGAGGGACCAGACAGCGAGACAGAGGACCCTGACGCCCGGGGAGGGACCACACAGCGAGACAGAGGACCCTGACGCCCGGGGAGGGACCAGACAGCGAGACAGAGGCTCCTGACGCCCGGGGAGGGACCAGACAGCGAGACAGAGGACCCTGACGCCCGGGGAGGGACAAGACAGCGAGACAGAGGACCCTGACAACCGGGGAGGGACCAGACAGCGAGACAAAGGACCCTGACGCCCGGGGAGGGACCAGACAGCGAGACAGAGGACCCTGACGCCCGGGGAGGGACCAGACAGCGAGACAGAGGACCCTGACGCCCGGGGAGGGACCAGACAGCGAGACAGAGGACCCTGACGCCCGGGGAGGGACCAGACAGCGAGACAGAGGACCCTGACGCCCGGGGGGGACCAGGTAGTGGGGCAGCGATCCCTAACGCCCGGGGAGGGACCAGACAGCGAGACAGAGGACCCTGACACCCAGACAGCAAGTCACCAGCTCAATGGAAGGCGGGCCGGCGGCGCCCAGGTGTCGCCCGCCGCTCGGTGTCGGCACAGGCGTGCATTGGCGTGCTGCGCCGCACCTCCACAGGTCGAGCCGGCGCGTCACCGCCGGCTTCCAGCAAGCGTTGCCGGGCCGTGTCGGGAGCGACAGGCCGAGATGGACCGAGCGCCAACTCTGAGCTCAATGGCAAAGCAGCCGGCTCCAAACGGTGACAGCCGCTTACCCGTGCGGTGTTGGATCCGTTTCAGTGACTGCAGTGGAGGAAGAGAGTCCGCCCCCTCCCTTCCACAGTGCCGCCCAGAAGGTGCTGCGAGGGATAACGACTCTCGGACCGCCACAAAGCGTTGAACCCACGCTGTTTGCCATCGTGGCTCCCATTACCTTGTATGTAAGTGCCTCCCTGCTTATCTCTTGCATCACTGAGATGGGCCAAAGGGTGACATCATCTGCGGCCATAGCGACAGTTGCCATGACAACCCGCTATGATGTACACAAACCGCAATGGGACGCCACTTTTGCCAGCGCCAAAGCCTGCTGACGACAGCACACGGCCCACGCCCCTGCCGCGTCCGCAAGCTCTGCAACGCTCGCCTTCCAGCATGTCTCCGCTCGCCGGACAGCGAGCCTGAAAGCCTGGCAGATGGGCGCGCCAGCAATGCCGTCGGTGCAATAGAGCGGTGCCAGCCGCAGTAGGGCATTAAATCACGGAAGTCACAACAAAAGCATCTGCCACAGCCATTCACATGTTGTCGTGGAGCTATGGCAGTGAACGCTCGAGTCATGCAAGTGGCATCTCCGGTCAGATCAGAATATACGTCCCCGTTGAATAACGAAGAGATATGACGATCGGCAAAGGTACACGCAGTTCGGTGATGGCCGCACTCATTTCAGCATCGGTGCGCTCGTTTTAAAACAGGTAGCTATTTCGTGGACGCACATGTTTCGTTGCCACGCTGGACCACATCAGGGGTGTTCGCCGTACGTCCGCAAGATAACAGACACAATGTCCAATTTTTTACACACTTGACGCGCTTGTGACTGGCCGTTATTGCAGGGCCCAGCCTCGGCGAGTGGGGACGCGGCAGGCCGGCGACCGCTGACGCGCGCCCGTGCCGCGGCCAACGGCGACATGGACGCCGGAGCGGCCCGGCCGCCGGCAGGGGCGCCCGCCTGCCGCCATTCGTAGGACAGCCAGGCTGGCGGTGGCGCCGCGGTCAGCCGGTCGGCCCCGGGGACGACGGTCGCCTGCCGCAGACCCGAGCGCGGCTGACGCCCCTCGGGTCGGTACCGCGCTCGTCAGCGGCAGGGCGGGGGCGGGCGCGAACCCCAGCCACCACGCACCGCCACACACCCCGAGATCGACACACGCTAGTCCCGGTCCACGCTCTGTCCTCGTTCCCCGAGTCGACACGGCCCCGCCCCGCCACGCAGCCGGCGGCGGCAGGCCCTCACTCACCGACCACCATTAGCGTGAAGTGGAAGCCCTTCTTGACGGCGCGCCGGTACACCTGGTTGGGCAGGTTGGCGAAGCCGACGTAGCCGTCCAGCTGACGGGCGCGCCGCTGCGGGCCGCGCTGCTGACGCTCCCTGTTCTCCTCATCTGCGCGGCGTGCCGTCTCCACCTCTGGCTTCGGCTTCGGCTCCGGCGCCGGCGGCTCCTTCGCCGGCTCTGGCTTAGGCGAAACCTGCGCGCACGACCGGGCGGTCGTCAGCTGGGTGGACGTGACGAGTCGTTTGATTCGGTCTCGGAGTACATCAGGGATCACAGAAGTGGTGAGCGCCACGAGCCAGGGACGCTCTGTCCGTGGGGGGCCGACCGCCGGACAAACACGCCGACTTTACGACGCTTCGTCGTTTTATCGCCAACAATATGAGAATGCGAGGAGCCGGGGCCCGACGCTGCGACACAGCGCACATTCTGAAGCCAGTGCCGCTCGGGTTGACACTGAGCCCGAGGACGGCGCTCCGAGCCATCGGGGGAGCAGACAGAGGTCCGCAGCGGCGAACACGGCTGCGCCGGACGCTCCAACGCTAGTGCGTGTTCCCAGGGGAAGTGCGGATGAGTTGGCAGATCGCACCCCCTCCCCCGACCTCGACCTCGACCTTCGGACTGTGCGCGGTAGTGCCATCAGCAAAACGGCGGGTTTCGGAGCGGTGGACCGTGGTCCGGCGCCGACGCGTCGCGTAAGTGATTCACTGGCCGATCGCAACACGCATGGGAGCCGTAGATAATCATATACCACCATGAGTGCCGGTTGATAGTCATGTGCTTGACATATGACCTTTCGAGCCTCCGCTGCAGAGGAAGACCTACTGGCGACGATTTGAGTCTCCAAACAGCACGTGCCACGCAGGTTGCCGACAAATCAAACACACTCACATTTCGCGGGCAGCATCCTTACTCCCGGAGGCAGCTGGGCCTTGCAGCGTTCATCTGCCATGAGCAGGTGCCGGCCAGCAGCCAGCGCACGCGATAAGAACATATCCCAACGGGAGCTTTAAGCCAGCATGGGGTGACCCACTCAGGGGTTTGGAGTCTTGCAGTGTGCTTGAGCGTGAAGTCATGGGGAACCGATCTACTAAAAATGAAGAAGCAAGGAGCCACTTGCCGCTAAATCTCTACCCATAACATCGCGGCTGAAGAAACCATTTACTTGCATTTTTAAATAGTAGACAGCTAATTTTGCGGTTGAATTAGAGAGAATTCTAGAAATCGTTGCCTGGCACACTGAGCGCCATAGCATTCTAATGCAAACACTGCAATGGACCCCCGTTTCCAACATGAATACGAGTCCGATGCTCTGCAAACACAGCTGATTACAGCCGACTCTGCTGAATCGCGGGTCAGCACACGCCATCTCTTGAGCATACGCGGCACCAACTCCATCATTCACCGTCATGGTCAGCTTACCACCACTCTGACGCAAACCGACCCCAAACCAGACAGATTTAACGCTTCATGCATTTGAATTGCCTGTCCTGCGATACGGCCAGGGATATGCAAACTCCCAGCGGCTATTGGCGCTGCACGGCGCCCGTAGCGGCTCAACGGCGGCGCCCGTCGGCGCCCACACGGCAGCCGCCCCACAGCGGCTGTTGGCGCTGCACGGCGCCCGTAGCGGCTCAACGGCAGCGCCCGTCGGCGCCCACACGGCAGCCGCCTCACATCCCAGCGGCTGTTGGCGCTCCACGGCGCCCGGAGCGGCTCAACGGCAGCGCCCGTCGGCGCCCACACGGCAGCCGCCTCACATCCCAGCGGCTGTTGGTGCTCCACGGCGCCCGGAGCGGCTCAACGGCAGCGCCCGTCAGCGCCCACACGGCAGCCGCCTCACATCCACTTCGCAGCCCCGGCGCTGCCGCGGTGCTCCACGACGACAGTTCTCTCCGCGCAAAACAACTGTTCGGCTACATTTAATAAAGTCTTGGTCGCATAGCAGTCGTTCTTGATATCCCAAACACGTAGCACCGGGCACGGTACCGGCAAGTAAAATAAACGGCATAAGAGAGCTTCCAAGTCTGAATCGCGCTCGCAGCCTGATGAGACGCTACGAAAAAGACAAAATTGCGCAAGAAAGCAAACTATCAGCAATCGAAAGGCAAAACATGGAACAGAAACACGCCACGCCTGACCGCCAACGAAGGGGCAGAGTACAGCACTCGCCACTCAGGGAGTCCGCCTTCCCAAAGAGCCAGCAGGGCACACAGGCGGCCCGACGGGAGGGGTGTCTGTCTGGCAGTGACGGCTCGCCCCAGCAGGGTGAGCTCCTCTACGCAGTGGCGGCGGGCGGCCGCGGGCAGCGCGGTCCGCCGGGCCAGCAGCAGACCCTGCACCCGGCGCCGTGCCGTGCTGGGGACACCGACACTGCCTGCAGCCCCGAGCGGAGTACGCGGTCCAGCCGCGGCCGGGCGGATACCCAACCAGAGGGACGGTCGTCACCGTCATCCCGGCGTCGGCGTGCCGTGGCGTGAATACCGCACCACGAAATCGACTCTTTCATTCAGTGAACTCTTGCAGACTGGGCGGTGCTTCGAAACACGACGGCACCTTGGTGTACTGCAGCAGGAAGAAGTATCCTTACTAAACACTGTCGTCCTGGCCTCCACACTACGCTGCGGGCATCGTGGCCTTAGACGCCTCGCAGAACCCTGCGATCCCTGTCATATGGCGGTACTTCGTATTTTTTTACGTACAATGGGGCTGCGATATCACTTAGATGCTGCATGCTCCTCGAGTCCCTGGCGCGCGGGGGAGCACTGCGACTTCTGTCCTGTTGCGGCACCCCACGGTCCCATACAAGGCACAACATCGTGCAACTCAACCTGTACCGTGCCCTGAAAACCTGGGAGCACCACAAAGCTCCTGACACACTGCATGCCCCCGTCATCCCTACCGTACTGTGGCATCCTGGATCTCCCGACACAGCGATTACCCAGCTTCCCCATACACCACGGCACCCTGGCACACCGGGCAGCTCCCAGCACACGCGGCATACAGCAGCACCCCGCCGCCACCACAGGACGAGTGGAGGGCTGGGCCTCTGCTGGCGGCTCGACGGCCTCGGTCGCCGGATCAACGTTCTTATGTCAAACGGCAAGAGTGGCGGCACTTCCCAGCGGCGCAGCCGATGACTGGTGACAGACACGATAGCCCGCCCGTCTCAATAGGCGAGAGCCGCGAAAGCTCGACACTTGCACAATGGAGAAACTCCGCGCAGCGAAAAACGCTCCGAGCGACCAAAGTGAAAAAGCGAGCCGAGCGGCGGCTATCCGACAGTCACAACCGACGGCAGCGCGGCCGGGCTCGCCGCACGCGGCCGTCAGTGACGGCCGGCCCGCCGCCGCTCGCCAGGCACGGCGGCCGCATGTAGCCGTGACCCAGAGCCAGGACAGCCAGCCGCGTCGGCCGGCCGGGACGGCGCACGGCTCGGCACCGGGCTGGACCCCCGCGATCAGGCTGCTGTCATCGGGATCAAAGTGCACGGCTCCGGAGATTGCATGGCGGGCTTCCACTGAGGGCGCTGAGCGTGGATGCCTGGGATGGGCGTGACAGTGTTCTCCATCTAGACTGCTTCGGAGACAGCGGGCGCCATACTGACGACACGGTGGGACGGCCTGCACGCCATAGTCCGTCACGCGATCAACAGCCCGTTCCATTCATTCCAGGCATGAGAGCAGTTCCAGCACATGAAATCAACGCCGAGACACGACAAAATTTTTTGTACCCCAAGTCTCACCAAGACGGCCGTGCGTGACATTGAAGGAGACCGGGGGACGGCAGTCTCGTTAGCGGGCCAGGTCCGCTCCCAAAAGGGCCGGCGATGCGTCGTTTCAAGGCCAGACAACGGCCAGAATGTCACCAACCCGACCCGTATGGACCCCTCCCCTGCCGGTAGCCGGGACTCGCCCAGCCTCACCTCGGGCCGGTTCTCCTTGTTGTCGCGGTCCCGTGTCTGGCGGCCGGCGGCGGACGGCGCGGCCGGCGCCGGCGCCTTACTCGCCGCCTCCTTCGGCACGGGCGGCGGCGCGCCGCTCGGTGGCGTCTCGCCCCGGAAGAACATCTCGCGCCTGTTCTGCAGCTGGAATACAGGGCCACCGGTCAGCAGTCTGACCGGCCGAGCCAGGTGGATACAAGTGACACATTACTGCGTTTGGTTCACTTCCAGAAATGACCACGCCCTACAAACGCATGAGCATTGGAAACAGAAGCGCTGCCCGTCTGCTCACACACTCTGCTAGTGGGACAGGCTGCCAGCCCTCCCACACGGCGGCGTACCAATCTGCCGTCTGCGAACTCTCGCCACAGTGGGGCATCAACCACTCTGCCGTCTGGCAGCCGCGCCAGACGGTGGGGCAGCCGGTCGTCGCTACGAGACGGCAGGGCGCCGGCGGCCGCGGCCCGTCTCTCGGCGACACGCCCGCCGCCGCGCGCCGTAAGGCCGGCCGTGACGGGGCCGGCGTGGAGCCGGAGTCGGAGCCAGAGCTAGAGCCGGAGCTGGAGCTGGAGCTGGAGCTGGAGCTGGAGCTGGAGCTGGAGCCGGAGCCGGAGCCATAGAAAAGGCGGGAGCCGGAGCCGGAGCTAAACTGGGAGACAGAGCGGGAGCCGGAGCCGGACCCTGAGCGAACGCGAGAGCGGGAGCCGGAGCCGGAGTCGGAGCCAAAGACCGAGCGGGAGCCGGAGCTAAAGCCGGAGACAGAGCGGGAGCCGGAGCCGGAGCTAGAGCTGGATCTGATGCAGGACACAGAGCCGGAGCTGGGGCTGGAGCTGATGTAGGACACAGCCGGAGCTGGAGCCGGAGCTGATACCGGACACGGCGCCGGAGCGCGAGCCGCAGCCAGCCGATCGACCGGCCTCGCCGCTGACGGCCGAACCGGCCGTCTGACGTATGAGCGAGCAGCCCAGCCGGCCGCTCCAAGAGCCGTGGGAGTGAGACGGTGGGGGCGCACCAGCGAGACCACCGCACCGAGGCCGGACCGCCGCCGACCGCCGCCACGCCACCGGAGCTCCAGATCACCACCGCAGGCACCACTTCAGGAACGCGCCCAGGTAGATGAAGCAGATATGGGTTGGATAGAAAACTTGACAAACCGCACCATGTAGAAACATCAATCAATCAATCAATCAATCAATCAATCAATCAATCAATCAATCAATCTCTCTCTCTCTCTCTCTCTCTCTCTCTCTCTCTCTCTCTCTCTCTCTCTCTCTCTCTCTCTCTCTCTCTCTCTCTCTCTCTCTCTCTCTCTCTCTCTCTCTCTCTCTCGCTCTCTCTCGCTCTCTCTCGCTCTCTCTCGCTCTCTCTCGCTCTCTCTCGCTCTCTCTCGCTCTCTCTCGCTCTCTCTCGCTCTCTCTCGCTCTCTCTCGCTCTCTTTCGCTCTCTCTCGCTCTCTTTCGCTCTCTCTCGCTCTCTTTTGCTCTCTCTCGCTCTCTTTCGCTCTCTCTCGCTCTCTCTCTCGCTCTCTTTCGCTCTCTCTCGCTCTCTCTCGCTCTCTCTCGCTCTCTTTCGCTCTCTCTCGCTCTCTTTCGCTCTCTCTCGCTCTCTTTCGCTCTCTCTCGCTCTCTTTCGCTCTCTCTCGCTCTCTTTCGCTCTCTCTCGCTCTCTCTCGCTCTCTTTCGCACTCTCTCTCGCTCTCTTTCGCTCTCTCTCTCGCTCTCTTTCGCTCTTTCGCTCTCTCTCGCTCTCTTTCGCTCCCTTTCGCTCTCTCTCGCTCTCTTTCGCTCTCTCTCGCTCTCTTTCGCTCTCTCTCTCGCTCTCTTTCGCTCTCTCTCTCGCTCTCTTCGCTCTCTCTCTCTCTCCTCCCTCTCGCTCTCTTTCGCTCTCTCTCTCTCGCTCTCTTTCGCTCTCTCTCGCTCTCTTTCGCTCTCTCTCTCTCGCTCTTTCGCTCTCTCTTTCGCTCTCTTTCGCTCTCTCTCTCTCTCGCTCTCTTTCGCTCTCTCTCTCTCGCTCTCTTTCGCTCTCTCTCTCGCTCTCTTTCGCTCTCTCTCTCTCGCTCTCTTTCGCTCTCTCTCTCGCTCTCTTTCGCTCTCTCTCTCTCGCTCTCTTTCGCTCTCTCTCGCTCTCTCTCTCGCTCTCTTTCGCTCTCTCTCTCGCTCTCTTTCGCTCTCTCTCTCGCTCTCTTTCGCTCTCTCTCTCTCGCTCTCTTTCGCTCTCTCTCACTCTCTTTCGCTCTCTCTCTCGCTCCCTTTCGCTCTCTCTCGCTCCCTTTCGCTCTCTCTCGCTCTCTTTCGCTCTCTCTCGCTCTCTCTCTCTCTTTCGCTCTTTCGCTCTTTCTCTCTCTTTCGCTCTTTCTCTCTCTTTCGCTCCTTCTCTCTCTTTCTTTCTTTCGCTCTTTCTCTCTCTTTCGCTCTTTCTCTCTCTCTCTCTCTCTCTTTCGCTCTTTCTCTCTCTCTCTCTCTTTCGCTCTTTCTCTCTCTCTCTCTCTTTCGCTCTTTCTCTCTCTTTCGCTCTTCCTCTTTCTTTCGCTCTTTCTCTTTCGCTCTTTCTCTCTCGCGCACGCTCTCTCTTTCGCTCTTTCTCTCTCGCGCTCTCTCTCTCTCGCACTCTCTCGCACATTCTCTCGCACTCTCTCTCGCGCTCTCTTTTTCTCGCGCTCTCTCGCTCTCTCCCTGTCCCCCATCCAATGAGTAGAGCAGGATAATTCTCCTTCGACTGCATTGTCTGGCAATTTGGCGAGTCTTTGGGCTAAGCCCACCAATATTTTAGGCTGGATACGCCTTTGCTTCTGCGGCCGCTCCATATGAACCACTGTAACAGAACATACGCCAAGGTGAATGCATGCCTAGAAGCAGTGAGAGCTTCGGTCCCATTCAAACACTATCTTTACCGCACCATCGCCGCGGGGGCCAAGAGAATACATACAACTATCGTGAAGGATGCCTTATCAACCATTCGTCGCGGTTATCACACGGATCAGTGGAGAGCTTCTAGGCCATATGGGCACCAATTTTAATCGCCCCAAAACGTCAATAAACCTGACAACAGCAAAACTACGTGTTGACAACGTTTTTGCAGGACATTTTGGCAATCAGCGCCCGGAAACTGTCAATGCCTTTACGCAAATACCAGCGCGTCAATACCAGCCCTACACTTTCCCAGCCCTAGCTTGGCAGGACCGCTGCGGGACGGAGGCATATCATTTAAGCATAATTAAAAACTGCGTCATTTGCGACAAGCTTTGCTTAACCCTGGCTGCCCTCATCGGCACACAAGAGGAGAAAACCCATCACGGTAAAAAGCAAAACACGGTTTAAAACACCAAAGCAGAGCATCCTTCACCGACCAACTGGACCTACCGAGCGGATATTGCCAGAGGCGTTTTGAGGGTGATGCCCTCATTGTGGCCGGGTCATGCGCCAGCACAAAGGTGCCCCTTCTGCGATGGTATCGGCCCGGTGCCGGTGACGCCAGCACAGTCACAGTAAACAGAGCGGAGCGGGCCGGCGCCGCGCAGCGATCGCCAGACACTGAGCGGCGTCAGAGCCGGGACCGGCGCACGGCTTCGTGTCCGACACCGGCGGCATGGCCGGCCGTCGCCGGACGCAGGTGATAGGTGACCAAGGTCGGACTGCCGCCGGCACGTGACCACTGCGGGTGGAGGCTGACGGCCGGCCACTTTCGGACACAGAGGATGCGTGGCCAGGGTCGGACCGTCGCCGGCACGTGCCCACTGCGGGGTTGAGAGTCGGCAGACAGCTGCGGTCGGGCGGAGGACGGCAGCCGTCCGATGTCGGCCGGTCGGACCAGCTGACCGTGTATCGTCATTTCTCCACTGACAGCTCGTCAGCGGCGAGCCCGCCACTCCCAGCCGCCGAGTTCGCCGAACGCCTCCGACGCTGGGAGGCCTCCTAGGTCCAGACGGCTGCACTACCGCGCCGGTCCGCAGGCGGGCAGCGGTCGACGGGGGTCGTAAGCGACACAAATGTGCCCCGGGGGAGAGCCATCCTAGACTGAATCCACACCGTCAGCGAACCTCCCAACTGCGCTCTGTGGGCCAACCTCCTCCCCAACTGGCCCGCATGAACGCCGCAGCCTCAGTAGCCGGAATGATCCGAGGATCGGGGGCACCACCCCCACCAGCGCCGGCGCCTGGAAGAGTGCCGAGCTGAGCAGCCAGCCCGACGCCGCCCGCAGAGTGGCTGGGACGACTTTCCGGTACACCAAACGACGCCGCCACTGGTCTGGACCGGAATCGCGGCTTCATGTCGGACACCACAAGCCGGCTGCGGCGCGCCCGGCGGCCAATTTAATCTCAATTACGGCACAAGTGGAGCAAAGCACCGATGAGTGGGGGTGACTCCCGAGGGGAACAGGTTTCCACTATTACGCGCGGCGGCCGCGATCAGCACGTCAATCGAAGCAGCGCTACACGGCAGCGTCTGAGCTGGCCGTTCTCACAAATGACGGCCACGGGGTGCTACGGCGAGCGAAGCGCTCCCCTTTCCAGACTGCGATCGTTGACTACCTCGCCGATGGCCGCTTGCTGGCACACATTCAGCGGAACGAGTCCTCTGTGCAGCGACAAATGTGGACGGCGGCCGAGCAGGCAGCGACGCACGGCCACAGTCAACCGCCACCCCGCTCCGTCCTGCGTCGTGCAGAGCCCGGCACCATGGCAATAGTCGCCGTGTGCGGCCGTGTTGGACCGTGTGATGACAGCTAGGTTTCTGACAATCACTACCGCGCCAGCTTCCCGGCGTGTGCCGCGGTCTCCGTCTCCGCCAGCCGGGCGACGCGCGCCACCGCCGATCCCGCCGTGGCCATCAGCAAACAAGCGGTGATACGCGGCGCGCGGCGTCCGTTGCAGCCGGCACGGTGCCGCCGGCGGCACACAAGCCTAGCCACGGCCGCCGGCGCGCCGCTACAGCGGCTGGGCCACGCCGGGACCGCGCGGCTCCTGCCGGCGGCGGACCGGCCAGGATCGCGTGCCGGCGCCGGCGCCGAGTGAGGCCCGGCCATCACAGCAGCGCCGGGTCAGATGAGCCGCCGTCGCCCCCTGACCTCGGGGGCACGTCAGAGCAGCGGCTACAGTCCGGCCGCCCCTCTCCCGATGGCTGTCAGTCCGCCCAGTCCTCTCCTAG